TTTTGCCTCTCTGGGATATATTCCCAGGAGTGCTATAGCTGGGTCAAATGGCAGATCAAATTCTAATTTTTTGAGAGTCGTCCATACTGTTTTCCAAAAGGGTTGGACCAGCCGGCATTCCCACCAGCAGTGAAGGAGGGTCCCTTTCTCGCCACATCCGCGCCAGCACTGGTTGCTTTTGTTCTTGTGGATGTGGGCCAGTCTCTGTGGTGTGAAATGATATCTCATTGTGGTTTTGATCTGCATCTCTCTGATGATTAGTGACGTAGAGCATGGAAGGCCAGCCACAGGCTCTAGGTGAAAAGGAAGCTCAGATAGAGAAGAGAGTACCAAATGAAGGGTGTTGTGAGGGCCCTCCCAGGGTGGGAGAAGCATGCTAAAAGTAGTCGATAGACCAAACATGATTGCCACTCAAAGCCTCTCTTGCAAAACACAGTACCCAAAAGAAGAGAGAGAGAACAAGGGGGAATACCCTGCCACAGAGGCACGATGGGACGGGGGGGGGATGAGGGTGGGGGGGATGCTGGGACCCATGGGGATGGATGACGGGCACTGGTGGAGGGATGGGGACTTGATCATTGTATAACTGAAACCCAAGCACAAAATTTGTAAGCCTATAACTGTACCTCATGGTTTTTCACTAATAAAAAAAGAAAAAAAAAATAAAACATCTTTTCTTGAACTTCTAAAAAAAAAAAAAGTAACACAAATGCAACTGAAAACAGGGAATGAGGGGGAAGAAAGCAGGATAAGACCATTGGCCAATGTCTAGGAGACAGTGTCATTTAGAAAAGACAGAAAGACAGGTTGGGTTGGCAGATTACCTAAGGGGCAGGTCTGTGCCTAATCCCAGCGCCTCAGACTGCAGAGCACCACTGGGTGTGTCCTGGGCCCATGCTACCACATCCTCTGAATCTCACATTGAACCTCTGCCCAGGTTGCCTGAGAATTTCTAGGAGTGGCTTCTGAGTCACCCAATTAAACAGAAAAGGCAGATAATTAAAAAGACAAAAGAAAAAGGATTAAGAGCCCAAGAGAGAAATGGCATTACAAAAGTAACCAACAGAATAAAAATATGAAGCTTTATAAAAATAATTTACACAGTGGGACAGAAGTGAGGGTACAGAGGATAGAGCCTTTGTTTTGCAAGTGGCTGATCCGGGTTCGATGTTTGGCATTGCATATGGTCCTCTGAACACTGCCAGGAGTGATTCCTGATTGCAGAGCCAGGAGTAAGCCCTGAGCATCACTCGGTACGACCCAGAACCAAACCAAACAAACAAAAACCCCTCAAAACCCATAAAAACAAACAAAAAACTCCAAACACTACAAAACAAACCAAAAAACCCACCCCCAAAAAACAAATAACCAACCAAACAACACAACCACCCAACCAAAAAAAAAAAAACCTCAAATCCCAAAGCAAACATTGAGTCTTCCCCCATGAACACACTAAATATCATATACTCAGTAACATGAGATAAGACAACAATGCAAGTAAACAGAATAGCTGCATCATAAAACCAAATGGGCCTACTTTGACTATTAAGAAAGAAAAAATCCAATTGGCTTAAATAGTAAAAAAAAAAAAAAAGAAAAATCCCCCCCCCCCAAAAAAAAACCCACCTCTGAATTGTATAAAAGATACACTTAAAACAAAAACAGGGGACAGTTATAGTACAGCGGCAAAGACGCTTGCCTTGCATGTGATCAGTTGAGGTTTGATCTCAGCATCCCATATGGTCCCTCGGCACTGCCAGGAGTAATTCCTGAGTGCAAAACCAGGAGTATCCCCTGAACATCATAGGATATGGCTCAAAAAACAACAACCAAAAACCAAACAAAAAAAAAGCCACAAAAACAAAAAACCAAAAGCAAAACCCAAAAGAGAAAGCTAAAATAAAGGCGTGGATAAAGACTTACCATCAAAAGCAAACAAGAACTTGCAGAGACTGTAATCTTGTCACCATAGTAGACTTCAAACCCAGAAGATGAAAACAGAAAATTTATTTATAATAAAATGTTACTTGCACATGAAAAAGAGTATCTGATTTTACTCATAAATAAATGTAAGTTAAAGCCATGTGGAGATGCCACTCCTTACCCAGACCACTGGTTATGCCAAACTTCCCTAAATCTCATTGATCTTTTGTCAGGGCAACTAACTGTAGTTTTGCTTGATAACAATTCAGTTTTTTGCAAATTACTATTATTTCTCAGAAACATGTGGATACCTCTTTTCAATCTACCTTGAGAAATATTACGTGGCATTATTCATCCATAATTCTATTATATGCATAATATTCATACTTCTGTATCATGTTTACTGGAACAGATATTAACAAATTAAACAACCATATATATATATCATATATATCATACATATGTATTTATATGGATTCCTCAGAATAACATCTCATGTGTTTGAGAAAGTTTGGTGTAATGAATATGAATGTAGTTATATTAGTGCTATTTACTTTTGGGTCAGGCAAAATGAAACAAGTCTGTAATTTATACATATAAGCTACTATATTTGGGCATCTTCATAGAGTAGGCCTATCTAAATGTCCTTAGCAGAGTAAGGGAGATGACTATTTTCTTCATAGAATGGAACTCCCCAGATGAGTAGACATGAAATATGTTGGCACCACATTTGACACTATAAAATCATGGTCTTCCATGCTTTGCATTTTTAAAAGGTTCCCACCTAAAGATAAAATGTGCTGGCTGAGGTCAGGGAAAATGAAATCATGAAATTTGCTTATAAATGGATGGACATGGAGAGTATCATGCTGAGTGAAATGAGTCAGGAGAGCGAAGATACAAAATGACTGCATTGATTTGTGGGATATAAAAATATATATATAGTAGAAGACTAATATCCAAGGCCAGGGAAAACAGAGGCTAGGAGGACTGGTCCATGGTTGGAATCTACCACAAGTGGGCATGCAGCAGAGGATAAGTAAGATAGAGAAGGGACCAGTATGACAATAATAGCTGGGAAAAAAATCACGTTGGACAAGAATACAAGAATATACAGGAGAACCTTTTAGTATCGGTTGCAAACCATAATGCCTAAAAGGGAAGAGAGAGAGAGAAGATAGAGAGAGACAGGTGCCTGACATAACGGCAGACTGGGAGAGGTGAGGGGTGAAGGGAGGGAAACTGGGAACACTGGGTGTTGGAACATTGTATGACTAAAACTCAATCATAGAACAACTTGAGAACTGTGTATCTGATGGTGATCTGATAAAAAGAGAGAGAGAGAGAGAGAGAGAGAGAGAGAGAGAGAGAGAGAGAGAGAGAGAAAGTGCTGGCTGAGCCTCAAGTTCACCTGATACCATGATGCATGGCAAAGCAAAAACAGCGGGTTGGAAGCCCGGGATATAGTTCATGGTAGAGCACATGCATGCATTGCCCATGAGATCCTGAGTTCAACAACATCACCACTAAAACCAGGGTCAAGGTATTCTTCTACCTGGGGAGAGCGGATGGCGAGGTACCCCTGATTAAGTCATAAACATATGACATCATTTTACAGGAGAGCAATGGTTCTCAAGGGGCTGTTTCTGCCCCTTCCCAAGGGACATTTATTTGGTAAGATGTGGAGACATTTTTGATGATCACAAGTGGGGCATCTTCCTGGTATCGCCTGTGGAGACCAAGAATGCTTTTAGACAATTCCACCCCCGGCAAATGAGAAATCATTCCTTACGAAACATTGATAGTGCCAGAGTTCTGAAACTCTGGGGTGAGTTTTATATCAACTGGGTTCAAATTTTATTTCACTGAAACGGCTCATCGTTTCTTTAGGAATGTTATCATCTGGTGCTCATGATTCCCTCCACTCTAGCCCCCACAATCATCTATTGAAATCCTCATGTCTCCACCTTCCACATGATAGCATGAAAACGTGGAATACTAGAGAGGAGAAAAAAGAAAAAACCAACCAAGGCTGGAAGAGTCCTCCTGAATGGGACCACAAGCGACTCCAAGTGACCCTTAGCTCTTCCACTGCAGGGGGAGGAATGAGCAGGCAGCCGCCTGGTGGACAGGCCCCTCCGTCAGCATTCAAGCATCCCATCTCAGATGTTAGAATCCAGCACCTGATTCAGTTTCCACAAGGTGCCAAATAAACCCTTATTGTTTCTTGGCTAACTAGATTGGGGATATTTTGTTACAGCAGCGGGAACAGACTAAGGCAGAGCTGAAAGAGAAACAAAATAAGGAACAAAGTAATTAAAAAAATTTTTTTTTTTTTGCTTTTTGGGTCATACCTAGTGATGTACAGGGGTTATTCCTGGATTTGTACTCAGGAATTACTCCTGGTAGTGCTCAGGGGACCATATAGGATGCTGGGAGTTGAACCCGGGTCACATGCATGCAAGGCAAATGCCCTACCCGCTGTGCTATCGCTTCAGCCCAAACAAAGTACTTTGGGGGATCAACGGGTAGGCTAGGTCTATGGAGGAATGGACTCGTGTGGGAGATGTATTCTGGCTCCCATTTCCTACCCAGACCTTTGGAATGGGATGGACTCATGCACTCAGCTTGGTAGATGACATTCACCCGTTTCTCACTAGGCCTATGAGAACGGAACCATCCAAATGCTGTTTCCATGGAATCATTCACACCAGCACCATGGCACTCCTCCAAGAATGTATTTATTTACATGAAAACACCAGTTTATACAAATTGAAGACAAATCATAAGAAGGGTATGTCCAGCCGGCTCCATCTCTTCCACTCCTTTATTTTATCTCGTCGCCTTTCAATGTTTGTGATGCTAAGTCAAATGTTTCCTGCGGGTTAAAGGAAGCTGAATCTGCCTCTTTGCCTCTGCTCTGTACCCCAAATGCCTTTGACCATTTAACGTCTAAAGTCACCCATTCAAAGAAAACTCTTGCCCAGGGTTATTTTCTTTAATTTATTTATGTAATACAGTGTAGAAAGCTATCACGGTCATAAGCAATGATTCTGTACAATCATCCTGCCAAATAGTTTTTGGGGGAGAATTCTTAGTAATTTGAGACCAGCAGGGCAACCAACCCCCCCACCCCCACCAGTAAAAGTGCTAACAATGAACAGGGATTCTTTTCTTTATCAAAGATCCAAAGATACATGGACCAAAACAAACCAAAAAAAATTAGTTTTGATTCTCAATGCCTAATCTGTGCACATAAACAGGCACAAAGGAAATAAATGTATATCCTTGTAATTTCTATATCACAAATATAGCAGAAGCAGCCATCTGTACAGTAAAATGCAATCGGGGGAAAAAAACCTCTTTAAATCATTTGGGATACTTAAAAAATGTTTAAAATGCATAGTGATCAGGAAAAGAATACTTAGGCAAGAGAAGCAGCTAAATTCCCACGTTCACACGAAGCGTTCCCCCATCGATTCTTAAAGCATATTTCAAGTAGGACTTAGTTGGTTCACAAACCACAAGAATAATATACAACTGGCTAAAGGGGGCTACATGATAAATAATCAGGAGAGCATCTATTCATGCACTAGTTTGATATAGCTAAATTCTTTACAGTACACAAAAACCCATTAATAATATAGTGTAGAGACCAAAATGTTGAGAGAGAGAGAGAGAGAGAGAGAGAGAGAGAGAGAGAGAGAGAGAGAGAGAGAGAGAGGAGAGAGAGGATACATTACTGATTTGTAGATTAATTCGGGTTCAGGCATCTACTTGTGTTACAGCACAGCTGTCAAAAGGCGATCTAATGAGCAAATAAGGAAACAGAAGGGGTTGTTTCTTTCCCCCTTATTCGAGAAACGAACACCATGGTTTGTGAAGCAATGGTTTTGCTGTCCAACTTCGGAGGCTGCTGTGGCGCTGGTCTAGTTCTGCATCTGCTCGAAGAATTTGTAAGTTGGGTTTTCGTAGCCGTTCTGCTGCATCTTGGAGAGATGACGCTCCTCGGGGGTCACGGCGGCGTCGACCTGCAAAACGCAAGGATGAGGAAAACTGAGTGGGGGAAATCAACCCTAGCAAAGCGGGGAGACAGAAAGAAGGATCGGTGCCCATCCAAGGAACGCAGATGCTCCATTCTGCCACCAGGTGGCGCGTAATACTCTGCCCTATGGGCTCAACCTTGCAAATTCCCATGCAAACTCCCAAATTCGGTCTTATACCCCACGGGGCAGTAACTGGATACACCGAGCACCATAAATGCCAGCCAGCCTCCCTGTTTTCTGAATAAAGTACAAATAACCATGATGCAAGACTCTTTTTTTCTTTTTGGGTCACACCTGGCGATGCACAGGGGTTACTCTTGGCTCTGCACTCAGGGGACCATATGGGATACTGGGAATCGTACAGGGGCAGACTGCATGCAAGGCAAACGCCCTGCCCATGGTGCTATCGCTCCAGCCCCAAGACTCTAATTTTTAACTTGAAAAAACTCGAGAGTACCCAAGCTGGCTGGAGCGATAGCACCACGAGTAGGGCGTTTGTCTTGCATGCAGCTGACCAGGTCAACCCGAGTTCGATTCCCCCGCCCCTCTCAGAGAGCCCGGCAAGCTACCGAGAGTATCTCGCCTGCACGGAAAAGCCTGGCAAGCTACCCGTGATGTATTTGATATGTCAAACACAGTAACAAGTCTCACAATGTTACTGGGCCCGCTCGAGCAAATCGATGAACAACGGGAGGACAGTGACAGTGACTCAAGCTGCAGGACTATGTCTGTGTTTATTTTATTTTATTATGTTATTATTTATTTATTTGCTTATTGGGTCACACGGGCGATGCACAGTGGTTACTCCTGGCTTTACCCTCAGGAATTACTCCTGGCAGTGCTCGGGGGATCATATGGGTTGCTGGGAATCCAACCTGGGTTGGCTATGTGCAAGGCAAACGTCCTACCCGCTGTATTATCAGTCCAGCCCCTGTCTGTGTTTAATTTGTTCTTGTGCTTTCACTAGATTTAATATGTGGAGGAGAGAACCATGAATCTTTAAGGCAAAGGAAAGAAAGATGCATATCCAAAGGGCTATTATTCGGCACAGAAAAATAAAAAAAAAAAGACAAAAGACAAGCAGTGAAAGATCTGAAGTTCTAAATTTCAGGGTGAGCTGAGCACTGAGAAATTACAGCAGCCCAGCTCAAGATTCTGAAACGAATTCCTTGTGTGGATGTAGCTCTTTATTTCTGAGATAAGGTCAGCGGTAGGAAATTGGCGTTTTTCCGTCTTGGCCATCATCAGGCTGGGTGGGAATATTTCTCTCTGCACCATGGGCAGGAAGAATGGAATTCTCCAAGGTGGGCTGTGGTACCTAATGCTGGCACGTCTCAGTCCCTTGTCAGGTCTTGGGAGAGCGGGATGACCATGCTCTATGTGGAATGGGACGGAAGCTGTGGTTCTGTTGGTTAGTTTTGTTACATGGTGACTTGGGTGATCACACCTGACTCATGGGCACAAGCTCGACCTCTGAGTGATATTCCTGCCTCCAGTTTCCTTAGTTAGGGACTGGAGGGAGGGGGGCACACCTGGCTGTGCTCAGGGTCTGTGCCTGCCTCTGTGTTCAGCCCGCCAAGCACTTGCCTGGTAGGACTTGGGGGACTGAGGGTGCCGGGGATCGAAGCAGGGTCAGTCATAGGTAAGGCCAGTGTGTAAACCTGCTGTACTATTTCTTTCTTTCTTTCTTTTTTTTTTGCTTTTTGGGTTACACCCAGTGATGCTCAGGGGTTACTCCTGGCTCTGTACTCAGGAATCACTCCTAGAAGTGCTCAGGGGACCCTGTGGGATGCTGGGAATCGAACCCGGGTCAGCTGGGTGCAAGGCAAATGTCCTACCCACTGTGCTATCGCTCCAGCACCCTGCTATACTATTTCTTGGGCCCTGTTATTTATTTACTTTACTTTTATTTTGGGCACTCTGGTTTAGATCAGGGTAGGGTCTCATACATCAATATTCCGCCCCCCATAGTCTGTTTCCCTTCGCTGTGGCCCTGGTGCCCACCCCCACTTCTATATCCTCCCCATCGCCCCCATATTACAATTTTCTTTTCTGTAAAATCATTGGAATAGGGAGAGAATCGATAGCCATTTAATCAGATGAAGCAGGTTTTCCAGAAAAAGTTAGCATGCACTATACAGAAACAGGCTTCTTTTTTCTTTTCCCTTCAAAGGAGTAATTTTTTTTTTCTATTTTTGGAGGTGGGTGGGTGGGAGGTTTGGGTGAAACAAGGGGCTTGGCTTGGCTGATGCTCCGGGAGCCTGGAGAACCATGTGGTGTCAGGGTTCAGACTTTGGCGTCCCATATGCCAAGCATGTGCACTAGCTTTAAGGAATCTTTTCCTGGAGATCGAGGTGGATAGGTAGGGGTGGAAGGGCCATACCCAAAGATGCTTGGGGGCTACTCCCAGCTTTATGCTCAGGGCTTGGTCCTGGTGGTGCTGAGGACCAGAATTGGCTACATGCAAGGCAAGTGGCTTAACCCCTGCAGTGTCTTCTCTGGCTCAGGAATATTTTTTCCTCTGTGTGTAAAATTGGGGTTCCCTGTACCACTTCCAGGAGGGAGAGAGAGAGAGAACAGGAAAGGGAAGAGAGAGAGGAGAGAGAGAGGGAAGAAGAGAGAGAGAGGAAGAGAGAGACTGAGACAGAGAGACACAGTGAGAGGGAGAGGGAAAGGGAGAGGGAGCGGGAGAGGGAGAGGGAGAGAGAGAGAGAGAGAGAGAACTTTTTGAGAACCATGAAAGTGTGTCTTCTGCGCTATCCAGGGACCTGACCAGATCACAATGGGTACAGCTACTATGAATCAGTATGGAAGCTACAGAGAGAGAGAGAGAGAGAGAGAGAGAGAGAGAGAGAGAGAGAGAGAGAGAGAACGCACGCTAGACTATGATCCAATCAATGCCACTTGGCAGTAGCTCTTTGAAGGAAATTAAATCACTATTGTGCGGGGGTATCTGCGCTTATGACGTCACCCTTAGGGCAACTGTATTCACAACATTGCTCAGAAGCCAAGTGTGGAAGCAACCGCCATGTCCACGGACAGATGAATAAAGGTGGGTTTATTCTTCAGCCACGAAAAGGAAGAAATGCGCCATGTGTGGAATGAGTCAGAGAAAAATGAGCACTGTCTGACATTAATGTACGTGGAATCTCAAGGACTCCAAGCAAGTCCCCAGCCCACACCAGACAACCCCCAGACTCAGCTCAGACACAAAGGGCAAACTTCTGTTGGCAGAGGGGGGAAGGAGGACGGGTGGGTGACATGGGGGGAGGTGGGCAAAAGACACAGTCTTACAGTTCACGGTGAACTTCTCACACACATGCTAGATGGGGCCACGCTCTTTGCCCTGGTGTTTATACACCTTCATCAGCAACACATTCTAACAGTTGGGTCTTCGCTGGCGGCTGCACACTTTCTCGTGGTCCTCACAGGTGAATCAAATACTGTTTTGGTGCTAGGAGTCTTAGCAGACTCGAAGGACCACAACTTGGTGGCCCCAGGGATCCAACTCGCAGTCTCAAGCTTGTCAGGTAAGTGCTTTTGCTACCAAGTCACCTCAGGGCCTCGCTCATGCCTCAGGCGCTGGTTCTTTGGGGGGAGAAGGGAGACATGGGGGAAACAACAGTTCTCCCATGCAGTGTCCGGGGGGCTCACTCCCAGTGATGCTCAGCCTGGTTGAGCAGGGTCTAATGTTTCACTGCTCCTACCTCAAAGTGCAGTGCTCCCAGGCGCTGTGGTGCTGGCAGGCTTCAGGGCAATTTGCAACGAGGCTCAAGGGGGCCACGCAGCACTGGGGAATCAAACTCTGGGTCTAACGCATGCCGGGTACACCTTCTTTGAGCTATTTACCCAGTCCTGGTGCAGATTTTTTTGTCTTGTTTTATTTTGGGGTCTCATCAAGCAATAGTCAGGGGTTACTCCTGGCTCTGCACTCAAGAATGACTCCTGACAGGGGTTGGGGGACCATATGGGCTGCTGGGGATTGAACTTGGGTTGACCGGATGCAAAGCAAATGTCCTATCCTTTGTACTATCGCTCTAGCCCAGGAATTACTCCTGACAGGGCTTGGCGGACCGTCAGATGCTGGGGATTAAACCCAGGTTGCCCGCATGCCTACCCACTCTACTATCGCTCCAGGCCCCTGGTAGAGATTCTTCTTTTTTTTCTTTTTTTTTTTTGCTTTATGGATCACCTCCGGCGATGCTCTGCATTCAGGAATTACTCCTGGTGATCGGGGGACCACATGGGATGCCAGGAATTGAACCCTGGTCGGCCACTTGCAAGACAAATGTCCTCCCTGCCATATCCTCAACTCTGGCCCCCTGCCACAGATTCGTTAAGTTCCCATGTATGGAAGATGCTGGAGACATTTCTCCTGCCACTCTCTCAAGCTTCCAGGGACAGGCCTGAGCAATTCCTCATAGGATGCCACACCCAGTCTCTCCCAGAGGGGTTGCCCAGCCACCACCGCCCCATGGAGAGTCTGCCTGGCTCTCCCAGTGGGAACAATCACAGAGGTTTTCCCCACCCCCTTCTTATCCCTTTGATCTGCGCTGGTGTCAACAGATGAGGTCACCTGGGCTTTAACTGGCACCAGTGTCATCAGCCAAGGACTCCAGCCAGGAAGGAGTGATGCTGGTCCCCTCCCAACTCAGCTCACCAGGTAAGCTGCCTGTGTGCAAGCTGCCTGTGTGCACCAGGAAAGCCATGGAAGACATGGGCGTGGCTCTGCTCTGCCCCGCCCCTTGGCTGAGCTTTTGGGGTGACTGGAGGGTGTGTGTGTGTGGGGGGGAAGAATCTTGCTTAGATCAAAGCCACAAGGCCCTGCTTCAGAAAGCCGGTGACCAGGTTTGCTGCCTGATGCTGCAAATATTGTGTATCTCCCCTCCAGGAGACTAGAGAGCCCGCAGGCTGCATTAATTGACAAACAGAAGAAAAAAGAAAAAAAAGGCATTCGGGGATAGTACAGCGGGTAGTACGCCTTGCATGTGGTCAACCCAGATTCGATTCCCAGCATCCCATATGGCTCCCCAAGCACTGCCAGGAGTAATTCCTGAGTGCATGAGCCAGGAATAACCCCTGAGCATTGCTGGGTGTGACCCCAAAAAGAAAAAAAGGGCATTCATTTCCAGTAACCAAGAGAGAAAACCATCCTGAATATACGTGACTGGCTAGAGATGCTATACGCGCATGCTAGAAAATTGCTCAGATGTTCAAGAGGAGGGAATTGGGCCTTTCGGGATCAAATGGACCAGTCTTGTGATGATTATACCAAGTCAAGTTCTCAAGAAAGTGAAGGGCAATTGCTGGACAATTTCACACGTCTGTGGAATATGCAGAAAGCAAGCATTCTGTCAAAACCCAGTGAAACTCCCAGACTCAGTGAAAACAAAGGGGGCTGAGAGAAACGGGTAGAAAAACCTTTTTAGGGGGGATGGCTCTGTAACTTTGGGGGTGGAACAATGACTCCTAGGTCCGAAGCTAAGCCTCTGTAACTCTACAGTGTAAAAGTAGCACCCAAACACATTAAAATGGGAAAAATATCCAAAGAGGCTCCATTTAAATTATTATTTTGTGAGGGGCCACAGCTGGCAGTGCTCAGGATACTTCTGGCTCTGTGCTCGGGGCGGACCCGTTGGGTTATGCTCAGGGGACCATATGCTGGGCCAGGAGTCACGCCAGGGTTGGCCACATGCAAGGTAAGTGCCCTGTCCCCTGTACTATTTCTCTGGCCCCCAGATTATATTTGGTTGTTGTTTTGACTTGGGGTCACACCCTGTGGTGTTCAGGGCTCGCTCCTTGCTTTGTGCTCAGGGATCCTATGTGGTTTTGGGATTCAAGCAGGCGCTGACACAGTGGAAGGCAAGTACCTTAACTCTTACGCTACTTCTTTGGCACCCAAAGCTGCTTTTTGGATTCAGAAAAGAATCAGATACGTGCTGAAAGTAGACTAAGGACCAAACATGATGGGCACTTAGTACCTGTACTGCAAACCATAACACCCACAAGAAGAGAGAAAGAGGGAATGTGTCTGCCACAGAGGCAAGGGGTGGGAAGAGGTGGGGGGGGGCGGGAGAAGGGGTGGGAATGGTGGTGGAGAATGGGCACTGGTGGAAGGATGGGTGCCCGAACATTGTTTGATTGAAATGTAATCATGAAAGCTTGTAAGTCTGTAACTGTATCTCATGATGATTCATTAAAATTTTAAAAATAAAAAAAGGACATAAAATTCATTTTTCAGTAATCAATATCGCTTTTTAGGAGGCTGTTTGAAGCTTGCAGCTCCTCCCAGTATCTCTGGGCTACCCTGACCCAGGCTGGAGTGAATAGCACAGCGGGTAGGGCGTTCGCCTTACAAGCGGCCAACTTGGCCGACCCGAGTTCGATTCCTCCGCCCCTCTCGGAGAGCCTGGCAAGCTACCGAGAGTATTCAATATGCTAGACACAGTAACAACAAAGTCTCCAACGGAGACGTTACTGGGCCCGCTCGAGCAAATCGACGATCAACGGGAGGGCCTTTACCTTTACCTTTTACCCTGACCCACCAGAGCCAGACGGGCTCGTAAGAACAGTCTCAGGAAGCCTCACCGCGCTGCTCCCTTACGGGGTTCTCGCCTCACCCCCATGGCAAGTGCACTCACACCTCGAAACAAAGAGATTTCAGGGTTTGGAGCAATAGTACAGCGGGTAGGGAGTTTGCCTTGCACACGGCAGACCTGGGTTCACTCCCCACTATCCCATATGGTCCTCTGAGCACCGCCAGAAGTAATGGAGGAATTCCTGAAGTATAATCCAGGAGTAACCCCTGAGCATTGCTGGGTGTGACCCAGAAAGAAAAAAAAGAGATTTCAGGTGGAAGTGAGTGCCTTTTGCTCGGATACTCGGTGTACTGTCCTTTTCTATGGAAAAGTAAGCCTTTTTTTTTTTTTTTAAAAATTGATTCACCCTGAATTACAAAGTCATTCATGATTTTCAGGCATACAATATTCCAATGTTCCAACCCAGTCAGCAGTGCCCACTTCTCACCACCAATGTCCCTGGTTTCTCTCCCCTCCCCCAGCCCGCCTCTATGACAAGCACTTTTTCCTTTTTTCCCTCTTTCCCTTTAGGCACTGTAGTTTCCTGTTACTGATCAGGCATCATTCATATTATTTACCTCCTTTTAGCACCTAGTCATGGTCCAGCGTGACCATGCCCTTCTATAACTATCATATTGGTCCCTTGCCTAACCTGTTCCCTCTTTCCCATACTGGCAAAGCTCCCCCTAACGATCAGTTCTCCTAAATCTTCATTTCTAGTAAGAAATGTAAGACATTTCACAAATTGCATTATTTTCCTTTACCTGGCTTTAGAGAAAAGTGTGATTATTTAAGACAAAATAAAAATTCCAGGACTAAAAGGATTTAAACCTAAATACATTTATCTCTGAAAAAGCAACACCCCCCCACTCTAAAATTTCTAATTTCTTCCCAGGTTTTCATTTTGTGGTTCATTTTTCTGTTTGGGCCACACCTGGTGGTGCTCTTGGCTCACTCCTGGCTCTGAGCTCAGGGCTCGCTCCTGACGGGGGTGAGTTGGGGCTGAGGAGACCAGATGGGGGGCTGGGACTGAACCCGGACCAGCCACATGCAAGTGTCCTGCCTGCTCTACTATCTCTCTGGTTTTGCTCCAGTTTTCTTTGAAACGTCTGGGGGGTACTCACATTTTTTTAAAAGCCTGGCATCGTTATTGTTTTGATATTGCAATATGAATTATAATAAGCTACACACAACTCAAGGTCTTCATCATAGTATTTAACCCCAAGACCTTGATTTTAGTCTTTGTAAGTTGGAATGAATAAAAAACAAAGCAAGTGAAGAGCTGTCATTGAACACCAAGTAGGACTGTTTTTTTCCCCAAAGAGATACTTGAATGGTCTGTAGCACACTGCCAAGAAAAAACTTCCCCGTGTAGTCTTTCTTTGATGCCCACATGCAAACACGCAGCCCATTTTCCTACCTCCACCACGCCGTGATGGATGGATGTGTATTGTTTCTTCTTCAGCATCACCAAGGTGATTACAATCACTGTTGCTATGACAACACCGCCCACCATGAGTCCAATGATGGCACCTTTGTTTGAACCCACATCTTCTGCAAAGAATACCTGGAAGATGAACACAAAAAAAAGGGTCTGTAATGGATGAAGTGTGCAAAAAAGTACGAGTACAGAGCACGGAGAGTCAGCTAGTCACACCATTATTTGGGGCTTCCTGGAAAATTCAAAATAACCCCACAGTCTTACTTTTCAAAATTGATACTTGGAGTCTACAAAGGGACAGAAGGTTCTGTTCCTGAGTCTACCTGCCTCTCCCCAGTCATAACCTTAGACAGATAAAACAGAGGCCAGTGGGAGCCTGGCCTGATCTCTGGCAGGGGGAACTTGATTACATATGAATGGATCTTGATTACATATGAAGGTTGGTATTTCCCCGGTCCCAGCTGGTTTCAAACCAAGAGACCTGATGCACGACACCTGATTTAACATACACCTGAGTCCTGGTTTTCCTACAGGTCAAGTCTTTTGACAGCAGGTGCTCAGGGGCGGTTCCTGGCTCTCTATGCTGGCGTTTCCCCTGGCAGCACGAGGGGGACCATATAGTACCAGAGACATTAACTGGGGTGAGCAGGATGCAAAGCAAGAGCTTAACCCCTGCACCATCTCTCCAGCTCCAGAGGGGAGTTTTGAATATAAGGCTAAGTCTTCTGAAGCACAGGAGTTACATGGAAAAGATATCTCAGTTACTTAAGTTTACACACAACAGTTCATTAGGACACTTGGGAACTTTGGGAAGCTTCACGTTAAGAGACAGTTATTTCAAAAAGCAAAAGCAGTTGGTCACCAGATAAAGGTTTTAAAGATCATACGATAATTCATACTATCTTAATACATTGTCTCCAGAAATCCAATAGATTATGTTGCCTTAGATATATAAGGAATTGACAGCATTCTGTCACTGTCACTGTCCTCCCACTGTTCATCAATTTGCTTGAGCAGACCCAGTAACATCTCCATTGTGACAATTGTTACTGTGTTTGGCATATCGAATACATCATGGGAAGCTTGCCAGGCTTTTCCGTGCATGCAAGATACTCTCAGTAGCTTGCCAGGCTCTCCAAGAGGGGCAGAAGAATCGAACTCGGGTCGGCCATGTTGGCTGCTTGCAAGGCAAATGCCCTACCTGCTGTGCTATCGCTCCAGCCTGACAGTATTCTAAATAAAAAAAAAATATTCAATGCAAAATGTGTATTATCGTACATTCATTTTTTTTTTTTTTGCTTTTTTAGGTCACATCTAGTGTGGCACAGGGGTTACTCCTGGCTCTGCACTCAGGAATTACTCCTGGCAGGGGGCCATATGGGATGCTGGGAATTGAACCCGGGTCGGCCGTGTGCAAGGCAAATGCCCTACCCTCTGTGCTACTGCTCCAGCCCCTATTATTTATTATATATTCTTTTACACTGTTTAGATTTCAAACCAATCTACTTGAATGAAATTATAAAAGCACACTGCAACTTCCATGATCTTCTACCACATTAAGTACAATATTTTCTTAGGTAAATGAATGAAAACAACTTTCTAATAGTTTTCTTAGCACTCAGATTAGAAAAATGACCAATTTTCATACTCAGACTTGACCTTCTGGTAATCTTGAAAAGGCAACATAAAAAATGCAGCAAATAAAGCAACTATTCAAAAGGTTTTTTTTAACTTGGAGAAGTCTATTTGCAACAAAATAAAAGCAGTTTATAATTATTCTCCCCCCTAAACCAATATCTAGTTCTATATTTTTATAAAAAGCAAATCATTAATTAACTAATGATACAAGTATGAGGTAATCGGGAGCCTAACTGCAAGGCTGGCCATCTTCCTGTGTCTTTAAGAAAATACTGTAATTCTGTAATATTCGTTACACTAATTATAGTACATTATCTTATCAACGAGTTCAGTAGAGGGAGTTGATTCTCTTAATTGCTGCACTGTTATTAGTCACTGTCGCATTACAGGAGCTGGTGTCATTGCGGAGACCGGCTTTATGACACATGCATCAGGAAAGACAGAGCTGTACATTAATCTTCAGTTCTGTGTCCCACCAGCTCCTACTCATCGGCAGTTCCCCCAATTTTATTAACCTCTTCAGTGTCTGGATCAAGAACAGCCCTGATTATATGGTCATTAATGCCAATCAAGAAACCATGCTCCGAAAAAGCAAAATGTGCTTTCATCAAAAAGATGATGGGAGTGAAGATGCACATCAGTTTTTGAACTGCTCTTATTATTTATTCACAACTAAAAAGGGGCATAAACAATTTCAAGACATTTCTTTTGGTCTTAAATTCATAATATTTGGATTGATATATTTTACTGATGATGATCAGAAAGGTGATTTCTCCTTGAAAGAAATACACAGCACAGACACATAAACAAAATTTCTGAAATCAAGAACTTCTCAAGTCTTATTCTGAGAAACTGTCCCCCCCCCCCCACCCCGGAGCATTTTCTGAGAATTTTATCACCAGTTTTGGTTCATTCCTGAAAGTGTAATTAAATTGTATTATAGATTTTAATATAGGAGCTGGAGCGATAGCACCGTGGGTAGGGTATTTGCCTTGCACGCGGCCAACCCGGGTTCAATTCCCAGCATCCCATATGGTCCCCTGAGCACCCCCAGGAATGATTCTTGAGTGTAGAGCCAGGAGTGACTGCTGGGCGTTGCCACGTGTGACCCAAAAAACAAATTTTAATATGACCTCCTTATTCTGCTTCCTGGGTAAGATGGAAGGAACCTGAACAGGATCTGACTAATTAGAAGTGATTGGCAAAGCTACATCACAATTGGAGCAGCCCTGTGTTTTGACTAATGCCTCCGCCCACCTTGTCCAAAAGAGGTCCAAAGCTCCTACCTAGAGGGGCGCTTCCAAGATAGAAGTTGGGGAGGAGATGGAAAGAGATGTGAGAAAAATGATCAACAAACATTATGCACGTGAATGTCAACAGTCATGAAAACAATTCTGGGAAAGCAAGTAACACTGGTATACCCTCGAGATTTTGAACCTATTATTGACTTAATTTCCTACAAAACAAATTGGAACTTAATGAAAATGGTTGCATTACGCAAATTAGTTCGCCTTTGAATCCTGTGAGGACTCGGTGGCCTTCTCAATTGAAAGGATCCCACAAAAAGAACCTCTTTTGCTGTGCTTCACATTTTCATGACGATCGTCCAGGCAAGCAATTTATTTGTGTTTCTAGCTTTACCTTAACTGGCCTGCAGGCACAGGGTGAGCAAGAGTGAATATGAGATTTTCCAGAGAGTGGCACCAACCCATGGCTTATTTCACGTACCAGCTTCTGATGATGAACTTCATATCCTGCGTCGTGTCGGAACTCAGCATCCATTTTCACTTCCGAGATCTCTTCTGTCTTGATATTTGTCAATCCCGAACCTGTATTGGACCCAGAAGCACGAGACCACAGTGAAGATTTGCAGGAGAGCTCACATATGTTACTTATAAATAAATAAGAGCATTACAACACAACATACATCTTCTTTCCTGACTCGAAGATAGAGGAACATGACTTCAAGAAAAATGGCCCCCTTCACACCTTGAAATTTGTGATCACTGTCTATTTTAGACTCAAAGAAATGAAAGCGTCAGAGTATTCTGAAGTCAAAACTTGCACTTTTTTTTTAGCACATACTATATTTATTTTTTAAAGTAGGGAAAAATAGGAATTTAATGCTAGTTCGGAGCTTGGCAAGGATTTGTTCTTAGAATATACTGATTTGGATTAGGGGCTTTGTTTAGCCTATTAAAGACCCTTTTCTATGTGTCCTTATTCCTTTAGAATAAAATAATAAGAGGCTTAAAAGTGAGCATTAATTACCTGGCAGAACAAAACTCCTACTTTGGGGCTTTGTTCCAATTACAAAGAAGTTATGTTCATGCTGTGAAGCGCTGCAAAAAATCCTATCTTTCAATTCAGGGATTTGCTTTATAGATAACAAATATTATTAGTCCATCTGCTAAATAAAGCAGGTGAAGGACACAATTTTACTTGGGTTACACGTTGCAAGTGGCTTCAGTTCAAATGGGACCTTATATCTCACTCTTGATGGAGTCACTCTGACAACCTTACTAGGTGCTAGGAAACTTGTCACACATCTAGCTGAAACTGAAATGCACAACGTCCAAATGATGTTCCAGTCGAACAATAAGAACTATCGCAAGAGAAAAGGAAGATAATTTGATGGTAAGTCATAGGGGTTGTGACATAGCACAGACTTCCCATTCTCGACTCATTCATCTTCTGAAAAAAACTTCTGTGTAAGAACCTATCTGAAAATAGACACCAGGTCAAGGTCAATCTATCTGCTCTAAGCTACTGTCTCTCCCTTCTGCTTATCAGAATGACATTTTCTTATCCCTGGCCGCCCAATCGTTTTCTACTCTCTAGAGTTCCATAAAGGTCATGGAGAATGGTCCTATGATTTCACCCTCAGGTTTTCTGTCTGGGTAATAAGGACTTGGACTTGGGTAGAGACAAAATTTGGTTTAAAGAGTCCACAAATTTGCTGCCGCCCTTCTCTTTGAGACTGAGTATCATTCCTTTCCCAAGATGATAAACTGGCTTCCAATGAAGGGCATGTGGAAAAGTGACAGTTGGTGACTTCTCACACGAGGACTGTGAGGACACTTTAGTTTGCTTCTTAATTTCCTCTCTGGAATCAACTGTGCCCGGGAAAGCCAGCTGCCATGTTAGGAGGATGCTCAAGTATCTCTTTACTGAGACCTCTGCACAAGTGACTGACGATCTTGGAAACAGACACCTCAGCAACCGGAGAAGTTTCTGGTTTTCAGATGACTGCAATTCTGGCTGATGACTTGATTGCAACTTTATGAGGCCCAGATCCAGACTCACACAACCCCGCCAAGTCAGAATTCTAAACATTTATAAGGGTTTCTCAGTCATGATGCTATCTGATGTGTAACGATAGATAACTAATTTAAGAGACTCAAGATTTTTTTTTTCTATTTTGGGTCACACCCAGCGATGCACAGGACTTACTCCTGGTTCATGCACTCAGGAATGACTCCTGGCGGTGCTTGGGGGACCATATGGGATGCCGGGAATCGAACCTGGGTCGTCCGCGTGCAAAGCAAATGCCCTACCTGCTGTGCTATTGCTCCAGCCCCAAAACTCAAGATTTATCTGATGCTTTTCTCATCTGATGTATATTGTGCTTTAACTTCCCTTTCTTAGATGAATTTTTTAAAATATAGACATGAAAAATGAGAGGCGCAATCAAAGCAGGCCAGTTTTCCTTTCCCTCTCAGTGCTGGTTCTCTGACTGATCCCCCCTAAACCCCAGGCTGCCCCAAGAGCTACATTTATTTCTCTTATTTTATTTTCTGAAGTATCAGCATTCCCTATGGACCCCTAACTTTCAACTTATTCTAATACCTAAACTTATAGGAATGCCTCACTTTATTTTTCAATTATTTAAAAAAAATTTTTAATGTAGGAGTACTGCTATTTTTTTCAGTCATTGATTAAGCTGATTGAACTGGGAACTCCTCATTTTTATCAAGCTGTGGTATTAACTCTTTTATTCCTCATAGTTGATAATATTTTTTTATCTTTCAATAGGACCTTTGAAATCATAGTCCTTGTAAAACCACAGCAATTTCTTATATCCCATCCTTTCTCTGTTACCAGGGTCTTGCCATGCATCGGCTAAAACCGTATTTCTGAGGTTTTATTTATTATTTCTGATTTTGGGGCCACAGCCAGCTGTACTCAGGGCTTACTCCTGGTTCTGTGCTCAGGGATCACTTAGTGGTGGGCTTTGGGACCATACGGGATGCAGGACATCGAATCTGGGTTGACTATGTACAAGGTAATTGCTTTATCCATTGTACTATCTCTCTGACCCCTATTTGTAAAACTCTCTTGAATAGTCTTCCTTTTATTATTTTTAACACATCAATTAATTTTTTTTAGGGGTGAGATGTCACACCCAGTGGTGCTCAGGCATTATTCCTGGCTCTGCATTCAGGAATTATTCCTGATGGTGCTCAGGGACCATACTGATGCTCACGTTGGCTGTGTGCAAGGAAAGCACGCTACCTGATGTACTATCTTTCCTTCCTCTTATTTTTCCCTTTTTGATTTGTGGAAGCAAACAGCAGTAACAAAAAAACTGAATCCAAAATCTTCTAAGCCCACACGGTCTCTAAAAAAATTCCAAGAATACTTTCAGTGACTCCCCAGATATAATCCAAGCATAGTAAGTCACAAGACAGATAATTGTGACTTTTCTAGCTCAGCAGTTTGAGAGACTCTCAGTGAAAAGAACTCTGGGTAGTTCACTTTTGGATGGCGTTCTGTGAAAAGACTTTCTTTCTATGTGTTATATAAGTCACTCTAAAAGGAAGGAAAACTAGCAAGTGTGTATACAGGGAAACACAGTTGAGAATAAGCCGATACTGCAGGTAATTAAATGTGCTAGGCAGTTGCTTTGGGAAGGGAGGGTGCTCCCAAGTCGTGCTGAGTCCTGGGGGTCCCTCTCAGGGAGCCTTGAACACACGGTTTGGGGGTTCAGCGCCAGGGTCTGGGGCTGTGGTGCTGCTTGTGCCCTGCAAAGCTGGGGAGCACCAATGCCCTGTCTGGTGATGCAGGGGCACCTCCAGGGATACCCCGAGTGATGCTCAGGGGACCTTGTGGTGGTGTACATCCAATCAGGGCCTAGTGCATGCGAAACAAGTGCCCTAACCCCTGTTCTATCTCCAACCCCTGCAAGGTCCCTTTAAATGCATTTCTGGGCCATTGATTCATGGGCTCACCTGATGTGTTCCTGAGCTGTGCCGAATCTATTCCTAACTCTGGCAATTTCAGTGCCACCCTACATGGCAGTGAGTAGGGGAGAGCGACGGGAGTGGGGGGAATATTCTCAACTGAGAAAGGAGGAGACACGAAAGCTCTCCTGTAGCTTCCGATCATGGAACTGGTTTCCATGATCAGGAATGGAGAAGGGTGGGAATAAATTCTAGTGGAAAGGGCCACTCCCCTCTCTGCAAAGAACCAGCTAAGCTAATGTACTGTCCTTCCTTCTTTTGCTCAGATGGCAACTGTCTTTGTCTGTTTCTCTCTGGAAGCCAGCCAGGGAGGAATAGCTATGATGGCCATTCTGCCAGAAATACCCGCTTCTCTTTCTGGGTTCCACTGCTTGACATTCTATTCCAGAAGGTGTAGTGCCCTGGTTTTGCAGATAGGAAAGTTAAGAAGTGGCTAACCTAAACCGTGATTATACCCAAATATTTCCTTGAGTTCCTTCAGAGAGACATGAGTGATTATTCGAAAAAAAAAAATGCCATCCAGTGAATGGCATGATAGGACAATTCATCGGAGGGCTTCTAAGTTTGCCTAAATATATTATTAGCCTCAAGTGTGCAGTCTTGAAGTGTGAGCAGTCTTGAAGTGTGACAATGAGAACTAACATCAAGGTTATACAAATAGAGGAAAAACTGATTCAAATGATGGCTCAGTACTGCTGAGTATTTTTACAAGCGTGAAAATAAGAGTGTACGTGTATCTGGATGCATATTCAACAAATGGGGCTATTCACAGACATACTTGAATTAGAATCTTCCTCCTGTATATCTGAACATTTTTTCTCATTTAAGACTTTGGTCTGCAGGAGAAACCCAAAGTCTTAGCGAGTATAAGAAAGAATAGTAGCTGAATTTACTATCTGGTTTGCAGAGAATCACACTTTTTCTTGGCCTATGTACATGTCTCAAACCTTTCAAAACTTCTCCCGAAGTTCATTTTTAGGAAATTGTCTAGATAACAACAACTTTAGTTAGAGATTGGGTTGTTTATTTTGTTTGTTTTGTTTTTGGGCCACACCTGGCAGTGGTCAGGGGTTATTCCTGGCTCTGCACTCACGAATTTCTCCTGGTGGTGTTCAGGGCATCATATAGATGCTGGGAATCAAACCCTGGTCAGCTGCATGCAAGACAAATGATTTATCTACTGTCCTCAGTTCCTCAAGTTAATGAATGCTTTATCTGCTTATATCATAAGCCCCCTGGCTTATATGTTGCTTTAGATTTCATAGCTTCTCTAGTTCTGATGTCCTCTTTCTAAACACATAAAGCCCGTCCCTTTCAGCATTCTTCCAGCTTCTAAGGGCAAGCACCCGAACTTCTGTAGCATTAGTGCATCAATCTGTGTGAGAAATCATGATGAAAGATTGCTGTAACAAAAATTTGGGGTAGGACTTCTTCCTATCCCAAACTGATGCAACACCTCTAACATTCTTTCTAGGTTTTCCCTTAAACCAGGATACTTTTGATTTGACAATGCATGAAAAAGTGCTTTTCATTTTAGATCTTTTTGGAAAGAAGGAAAAACAAATCAACTTGGCGGGGGAGGTGTGTGGTGTGGTGTATGTATGTGGTGTGTGTGTGTGTGTGTGTATGTGTTGTGTGTGTGCATGATCACTCATTCTAAGGTATTTTAGTTGGAGGATATGGGCCTAGTTTGTCCAATGTAGAACTTGATATAATGGGTGGAATGAGTGCTTCTAATTCATATTTTATGACTGCAGATGTAAAGCATCCCTTCCTTCAAAAATAAAGTAGGAGGAAGCTTCCTGGGAAAAAGGCCCACAGCAAATCACACTTATTTTGAAATTAAGCCTCAGCCAGGAGGACCTCCTAGTACCTGAGAAGGACGGGAGATGTCAACTTCTTGCTGACACTCTCCTGGGTGGCACTGACAATAAGGATGCTATTAGGAGAATGGTGACAACGTCTGCTTTACTAAAATTTAGGCTCTTCTGAAGAGCCCTACAGACAGATTCATAAAGTTGATGAGATCTGCTGTCAGAATGTGTCACTTTCCTGTCTCTGTGAATCGTGGCACAAAGGCATGAAGACACCACGAGGCAGATTCTGAGTTCTCAATGGCTCTGGCTGGGGACAGAAATGGCCTGAGCTTGCGCAACCTGTGAGAGGGGCAGAGTCTGCTCCTCTCCTGGCTTCACTGCAAATGACATCCATTCTAGGGATCTCCGAGAGTTAACATCTTCAAATGCGGTTAATTTGGGGGCCAGAGAGATAGCTCAGTGGTTAAGATGCTTGCCTTGCGCACAGTCAACCCTGGTTCAATCCCTGGTATCACATCACCAGGAGTGCCCCTGGTGTAAAGAGCCAGGCCTTAGCCCTCGGGCGCTATCAGATATGGCCCCCAAGTAAAAGCCAAACCAAACCAAAAAACCAAATGAAGTTTATTTCTTCCCTTGATTATCACATGGTATATTATGAAACAAAAGAAGAGAAATATGGGGATCTATATGCATTACTGGGAGCAAAATACCCCATTATCTATGATATATTTTATATATAATATATAATTTGTATACATATATATTATATATGTGTACAGATTCAGTAACATCTACCCTCTTTTTGATTCACTGAAAACTGTCACTGTCACTGTCTTCTCATTGTTCATCGATTTGCTTGAGTGGGCCCAGTAACGTCTCAGTGTTAAACCGATTAACACTGAAAACATTGACTATAAAAAAATGGCCACTTTACTATTGTTGGGAATTTAATATAAAAAAAAATTACCTGTATAGAAAATTATGCATTCGTCTGTTGTACCATTTAAAATCTCACCAAGAATAAGCATATAGAACCCACCAGAGAGAAAAATGTCCTGATTTCCGAACTCTAGATATACACCAGTTCTGATATTTTAGGAAGCCAGGTCTACTCAAGAAACTGACTGGTATGAGGGCAATTCAGTGGGGGAAAGGAGCCATTCAGATACAGAGCAAGAAAGGGAAGGAGAGATATTTACAGAAGCCACCAAGTGGCCAGCAGATCCAGCCCGCACTTGGATGGGCTTCCGTTTCTGAGGATGTCGCCACTAGCCAAAGTTCTAAGGGCTTTGCTGGGCTCTCTGACTTCCCAAAGGCAAGCTCAGCAAAGGAAATCAAAACAGCGACTCAAGTCAGGACCCGAGCAATGGCATGTCAGGAGAAAAAAACAGCCAAGGAGAATTTTCCAGGTTCGGTGTTCCCGGTCCAGTTCAGACCCTTTTCCTCACAATTTGCGCTTTAGAGAAGTGAGTCACGAAGAAAGGAGGGGGGTTGGGGAGGTGGGAAGGCACGGGCTCAAGCTCAAACTGCAGGCTGCTGAGAGGGGAGAAGAAAACCGGTGATACCTGGTCGAGTGGTCAGTCCTCGGTCGGCAGCAGGGCGGGCGTCAACAGGCTCAACTGGGCACAGGAAGCAAGATGCACAGAAAAGCAAACAAGACAAATTGAGATGGTTAAGTCGTGGCTCCTGGACACAGAGCAGGGGAAAGCATGTGCAATCACAAGTTATACAAAGGGAGCAGCTGGCAAAGAACCCTGCTGGGCTAATCCTGAGCATCAAGGAAGGGCCGAGGTCTCGCTTCAAAAGGCCCATGGGTACCCATGGGCCAATCCCATCCCTTCCTTTCCCAATAAAAGCCCTCGCCAGGAAACGCAGCCACATCAAAGAGGAGGGATTGGCCAGCAAGGATTTCCCTCTCAGCTAGCATAAGAGACGGTCTTGTCTTTTTGATGAGAAATAAAATATGATATCCGACCCACTGGACAATCTTAAAGACACCCCATATCACAATGCCCGGCCTTATCTGCTTTCACAGTTAATTAACTATCAAAGAGCCTCTTCCATTCCCAGGGGGCCTGCGATTCTGAATTTATCAGGGAAGTTTAATCCCTCTCTTCTGTTTTCTGCATCGAATTTATTCTTTGTCCAGGGTAGAAGCAGCAGATGAGAGTCTCTCTCCCTCTATTCACTTCCCCTCTCTCTCTCTTTTAGGTTTTTGGAGCTACATACCAGTGTGCTCAGAGGTTACTCCCACCTCAGTGCTCGGGTTGGGGATTCAACCCAGACCTCGGCCCACAGAATGATCTGCCCTGTCTGCTCTGTCTGTGCTTCAGATTGATTTCTACTTGGGAGCAAATACAGTTGAAACTTATGGGCTGAGAATGTTTCCATTCTTATTGGCATCATCTGCTCTCTCTTCCTCTGTGTGTACTTTGGATCTGGTCCAAAGCAAGTAGTGTGGGTGACACAAGAACCTCCACCCGGTTCCCTGGTATCTGGCATCACAAACGTGATGCTCAGACATTATCTCCTTACACTGAGACTGGTCTTCAGAGAATAAGGTGAGGGAGAGCCAAAGCTTTTAGGATTAATCAGTTGACCAGTAGCAAATGAAGCTGAAGAAAGAGGAAAAAAAAAATAATAAGCACCTTCTGTAAGCGCAGAGAAATATAAAGGTAAGAAGGTAAAGGAAAGTCTGAAAAGTTTGACGGCAGGATGAAGGCTTTGTGGGGGAAAGCCACTGAAACTGGCTCCATCATTTCAGTTACAACCACGTGGCTTCCATGTGAAGCATGGCCAGGGTGCTCCAAGATGGGAGATTAGAAGGCCAAATCAATGTTGAACACCTCCCATGGGCAGGAACGGGAGGCAGGAAGGGAACTGGCAGGGGCCAAGGATTCATGAGTAAATCATGGTTCGGACATGAAGACATCTGGGTGAATCACGGAGAAACACGGGCGGGTTCCGCCAGCGACTTGCCAGTGTGGGCAGGTCTGAAGGTTTGCAATTTCCATTACAACTTAGTCCCCAGGCTCTTTCTCCATACACAACACAGAAATAATAACGCCTCTTCTCTACGACTTGAGTGAGAAAAAAATCGTTTTTTAAATCTGATTGAGAGTCTCTCCAATAACTAGAGAACAGCATCTATTCCATAGCTTCTACCAAACCAGCGTTTCCCAGCGTGGGTGAGAGCACCCTTCGGGGGGGGGGGCAATGGAGAGTCCAGAGGGTGGGAGAAGCCCCAAGTGCAACCTGGGCATAGGGGCGCTTTCTGCTTGTTTGCTTCAAGGAAGGAGATTTTGAGGGAGGTTGGGAGTTCACTGTGATTTCTTTTTTTGTTGTTGTTTGTTTTCTGAAAAGAGTTCAGTAAGTTTAGGAACCTTTAGTCTACTGCTCTGAGGAAGAATCGGTTTGGTGCTTTACTATGTTTTAGAGTAAGGCAATTCTTTCTGCAACACGCAAATATAGTTTCTCTGTATTTCAACTTTTTTTTTCCTTCCTGCAACAACGTGGACAAAGTGACTTTGTTCTTCCATGTAAAACAGAGTTTATGGAAGCATGGATCAGTCACTTTTGGAGAAGTTTGACCCCTCACAGTCCCAAATGATGATCCAGTTGAAGTGTGTGCTCAAATACACTCACATTGCAAAAAAAGGAACCGGAAGTGATGATCTCCTACATTATCGAGTTTCATCCTTAAAAGAAAAACCTACTGGGGGAGATGGGGAGTGGGAGGGATACTGGGATCAGTAGTGGTGGAGAATGGGCACTGGTGGAGGGATGGGTACTCTATCACTGTATAACTGAAACCCAAGCACAAAAATTTGTAAGTCAACTGTACCTCATGGTGTTTCACTAATAAAAAATTAAAACAAACAAACAAACAAACAGACAAAAAACCCCTACTCGTGGGGCTGGAGTCATAGCACAGTGGGTAGGGCATTTGCCTTGCACAAGGCCGACCTGGGTTTGATTCCCAGCATCCCAGATGGTCCCTGGAGCACCGCCAGGAGTAATTCCTGAGTGCAGAGCCAGGAGTAACCCCTGAGCATCACCGGTGTGACCCCAAAAAGCAGGGAAAAAACCCCAAAACAAAACAAAATAAAACAAAAACTACTGGTTTGTATGGCAAAGAGTTGAACTTGTGGCTTAAACTTGAGCTCAAGCACCTCAGTGAATCCTGGCTTCATTCTAATGCCACCACTATTTTTTCCGATGTTTGCAGCCAAGGCTCATTCCTTGAGGCTCAGTCTTCTTACAAGAAAATAGCGTCCAGTGCCCCTCGCCCCCCCAGGCCTCACATGCATGTGGAAAAAAAAGAATATTATAAATAATAAAACGCTAATCCACATTCACTACTGGGAATACTGAAAAGCATCAACATGAAGGCTGTTTTCATCAAAAGCCTTATACAAATATGTATTTTACTTGAAATATTGTATGTATGTGTTTTATAGAATATATAAAAATAAAAAGCTTTATAAAAATGGTTATTTTAGGGTGAGGTTATCTCTATGAGCTTTTCTACCCTTTGCTCTTTTCTTTTCTGGTGAGGTTTGACAGTTCTTTTCGGGGCTACAACGAGTCTGTTTTAACACTCTGAGGCTGATTTAATCTGGTTCCAATTCCAAAATACTAACTCATATATTCCACCATCAGGTGTCAACACATTTTAGAAAAGGGCAATGATAACATCACTGTAGGAAAAAAAATGCATCCAAAGAGTCAGCGCAGTGAATGATTTCTAATTGATTACAAATAGCTAATTTTTTCAGATGGAACATTACTCATTGATCCAGAAAGTCACTTCAACATAGCAGTCATAATATTTTACATTGCTCTTAAAAGATATCACATCACCTTAAAATAAAACAAGCAGAAGCACATTATTTAGCTACCTCCAGGATTCCTGCATCAAACCCTTTACCTAAAAGAAGGAAGGAAAAAAAGAAAGGTGCAAATTTGGGCACTGCTGAGTTTGTTTGTTTTGGATTTCCTTGAAGTGGACCAAGTCTGGGCTAAACGCTGCCTAGCCCACCTTTTCATCAGCCCCTGGTGATAACGGAATCCTGGAAAGTGGGCTGACTAATGGATAAAAGAGGCCTTAATAGGACTGGCTGGCAGGCCTAATGAGAGCCATTATTTAACCTCAATTTCACCATTTAAATGGATTTTCTCAAAGCTTCTTTATATTTAAGTCAAATATACCAGGGCTGGAGAGATAGCTCAAGAGTTTAAGCACTCCCATCCAAGTACTAACCAGACCTGACCCTGCTTAGCTTCTGAGATCAGACGAGATCGGGCACATTCAGGGTTTTTAATTGTATCACGATTTACCGAAATTCATCTTATATAAAAATTGACAACTCTACAAAATAAAAAACAAAAACTATGTAGCATTGGTTTGTGGGACACATAGCCAGGTTGCTGAAATTGAGGAAATATGTTCAGAATTAGGTGTATTGTTATTTCTGTCTTTAAAGTAATTAAAATATAACCAGAATGTGATATTACAAAGACCACTGATCAATTTTATTGTCACTGTCACTGTCCTCCTGTTGATCATCGATTTACTCGAGCGGGCACCAACAACGTCTCCATTGTGAGACTTGTTGTTACTGTTTTTGGTAGTACACTTAATAATGTAGAATATTAAAGAAAAAGAGCTTAAGCACATGCGTTGCATGCAGCAGGAGGCCCGGGGTTGATCCCAGGCACTGCATATGGTCCTCAGAGCACTGAACCAGGAGTAATTCTTAAGTACTACTGAGTATGCCCTCCTCATCCCCCCCCCGCCAAAAAAAGAGGCAAGTTCTCTCTGTCCGTATACAATTATGGAAGGTATTTCTTAGGACTGTAAGAGTCAGGGATAAGGCTCAGTGGTCGAACATAGCTCTGTTTGTTTACAGCTGTGTGATTGTGGGCAAGTCACACAATCTTTCTGTTTCCTAAGCTATAAAAATTATTAAGACTCTCATCTTAGAGATTGGGCCTGGGCATTAAATGAGATAGTACAAAGAGCTGCACAAACACACACACACACACACACACACACACACACTCACTCACTCACACAGAGACTATAGTTTTTATGTATGCAGCAGATACAAAAACTCTGACTGGTGACCCGTGAGACTTTCTTGTGAGCACTGCATTCCACGTGGGTCTGAGTGTGGCTGCCTCGCCCAGTTATGAAAAAGCAGAGCTAAAGGAAATGTCTGCAGCCCTGGATTTCATGATCCACGAGAACTGTTTCGCAAACAACAGCATCACTTTGGTTGAACCCTTTAGGCATTGTGACCTGCAAAACCACAGAATTAAAATCCTGAAAGGCAAAGCTCAGTGGTTCATGGGCCTCAAATAATGGAAAAATGTGATACACTAAAAAAGAAAAAACCCACAAACTGAAAAAAAAATGCTTGGATGTCTGCTCCTCACTCAGAACTTGAGTGATTGTTAAGAAAAACAATAAATTTTTGGTAAGCATTAGCAGCTGTCATAAGGACCACAAGAACAATGCAAGGAAATCATTCGGGAATTTTAGTCATTTACCGTGTCTGTGTGGGCACATGTCTGTCAGATAAACAAGGAACATGGATGGGGGAGCGGAAGGGGTGGGGGTGGGGAGGGAGGTGGGGTACAATTTCAGGACTGGATTGTGAAGTGGCTTGTAACGTTCATTAATTTAAAGGTTAATGAATGTTCTCCTTATTACCCTTGAGACAAGCTGGTGAAATCTCTAATCAGATTCTAGTGCCATTAAAACGAAAAGATCTGTTACTGCACATTGATCATCGTGTAGATGTTTTGGTTAGTAAGAGCTCTTTGTACCATCTCGTTTAATGTCCATGCCCTATCTTTAATATGAGAGTCGTATTTACTTTTATAGCTTAGGAAACAGAGAGGTTGTGTGACTTGCCCACAGTCACACAGCAGAGCTGGAATTTAAACTCTGATCCCCATCCTCCACAGGTGAGAGTAAATTGGTGGGCTGAGTGGAGATGTTATTTCTGGGCTGTCACCAGGACTGAAACGTAGAGAAGATATTGCTTCTCCAGGGTGGAAACTGGGAATGCTGGGTGCTGGTGGTAGGCAATCCCTCATAGGTGAAAAAGTGTCCTGCCCCCCTCTAGGAATTTCGTTCCTGCTGGACATTCATGTCGAATGATAGTGTGAGTCCAGCATTAAGCTCAGTTTTATAACAGGAACACAGGGCATTTTGCACAGGTTTCACTATAACCCACCTACAATATAAGTGCACCACTGTAAGGAAGTGAGATTTCGGCAGTGGGTAACACCCTCAACTAACTGCTCCCCACTAGTAGCTGAGTGAACGCTTACAGGAGGAAACGCTCATTATAAATGAGGTCCTTGACATAGAAGGACTGTACTCATTTGTGGAAGATAAAGTAACATAATGGGAGACTAACACCCAAGGACAGTAGAGATAAGGACCAGGAGGATCACTCCACGGCTTGGAAGCCAGAAGCCAGCCTCGCATGCTGGGGGAAGAGGCAGTTGAGATAGAGAAGGGACCACCAAGTAAAGGATGCTTGGAGGGCTCGTTCGGAATGGGAAATGCCTGCTGAAAGTAGACTATAGACCATGATGGCCACTTAGTACCTGTATTGAAAACCATAATACCCAAAAGGAGAGAGAGAGTAAAAGGGAATGTGCCTGCCACAGAGGCGGGAGGGGGGTTAAAGGGTGGTGGTGGGAGGGATACTGGGAACATTGATGGTGGAGAATGGGCACTGGTGGAGGGATGAGTACTAGATCATTGTATGACTGAAACGTAAGCAAGAAAGTTTGTGAGTCTATAACAGTACTTCATGGTGATTCATTAAAAAAATTAAAAAAAAATGAGGTCCCTTATATTGATTTCTCCCTTACATTTTGTCAATCCATTTTATCTAAAAGACGACTCAACAAGTCCCCTGTGTATCAGCACTGATCCCTGAGCACAGAGCCAGGAGCAAGCCCTGAGCATTATGGGTAGCCTACCAACTCCCCTCACTGCCTCCCCCCCTCCACCCTGGAAAAAAAGATGACTCATTAAAATTTTCCTTAATGTTATTAAAGGATCATGATCAAGGAACCACATGTAGTGACCAGGGACTGAATGAAGTGTTCAATGCAGATGCCTTTTCTTGTTCTTTTTCTTTTTGAGTCACTTCCGGCATCGCACAGGGGTTACTCCTGGCTCTACACTCAGGAGCCACCCCTGGCGGTGCTCAGGGGACCACATGGGACACTGATTATTGAACCCGGTTCGGCCGCGTGCAAGGCAAACACTCTACTCGCTGTGCTATTGCTCCAGCCCCAAGGTAGGCACCTTTAGCACTTGGGCTATCTCTCTGGCCCTTGCACTGTAATTTTCTTTTCGTTTTTTGGGGGGCTACACCTAGCGATGCTCAGAGGTTACATCTGGCTCTGAGCTTAGGGATCACTCCTGGTAGTGCTCGGAGGACCATATGGGATGCCAGAACACGAACCAGGGTCAGCTTGTGCAAGGCAAATGCCCTACCTGCTGTATTGTTTATTGCTGACGCCATGCACCTTAATTTTCTATCAAAGAAAGCTTGCGTCTAGACCTTAGACAAGCTGCTTCTATCACCCTCTCCATGAAAGCAACCAATGTTGCTAAGGGAAAAGTTAATCTCAAATGCATTTGAATTTAAAGAAAGACTGGAATTTGTCACAAAAATTCTCAGACTACAGGGTGAGTATTTAAAAAGGCAAAGGTGGACATAAAAAATGGACATTCAACTCTCAGCATTCAAGCAGTAACAAAATTTAGTTTAACTTGGGTCACTGTAGGATTACCCAGATCTTTTCTCGGGGTGTGTGTGGGGCACACTTGGTAATACCCATGGCTTACCCCCTGGTTCAGTGCTCAGGAATCACGCCTGGCAGTGTTCATGGGTCCATATGCGATTCCAGGGATATAACCTGAGTTGGCCACATGCAAGGCAAGCTCCCTCTACTTTGTACTATCTTTCTAGCCCTTTCCAACCGAGATTCTGGTAAGAAAAAAAAAATCTTCCTAAGATTTTTCCTCTTTGGAAGATTGATTTTAAGAAGTGTTGAAGTTTTCATTATAACCATAAAACAACTTTGCTGTCCCCATCATATATCCTTCCTAAAGGATGCCCTTCATGGATCAAGGAGACACATTGTAGATGATTACTAACATTATGAGAAATCTACCTGAAGATTTTCCGCACCTATTCTTCATTTTATTTATTTATTTACTTATTTTTTTGGTATTGATTATTTAAAAGATGCTTCTCCAGTGCAGTAACTCCTAGCACTGGAGAAGAATTAGTCTAAAGAGCATCCTCATTGCTCTGGTGTATAAAAAAATGGTAAATAGTCTATATTACAAATGTCAAAATTGCACTAAAATTGGTCACAGGCAAAACCCTGTGGTGAAAACATGCTAGTTGTATCCAAAAATCAATTGTTGGAATTTTTATACTTTAACCATGTAAAAATGATATGGGATAAAAAGGTAGGTTCCACGTGAATGTTTCTGCTAAGAAATCCGCCATAAAAGATCATCACATATTGCACTCTCTTATTTATTACAGAGACAATGTTACTTCTCTGAACCTTAATGGAAAAGCATTTAGAACAATGTGCTTTTAATGTTGATAGCTACTTTAAATTTAACTTTCTAAAAATACACAGTAGTTTAATTTTAATCTCCCCCCCTCACCTCGGTCCTCCAGGGTGGGGTCTTTGGCCCCATAAGTCAAATGTTGAGCTACATTCCCCAAATTCCTCAGTCCTATAGCAGTTTTAATCTTGAGCAAAATGGCATTTTATTCCAAAGTGGTGTTCTATCTTTGCCTTTAAGATCTATGGCAATCTGAAATCTAATGCACTGGAACAAATAAACAATGAAGACTACTTTGGTGCCTTTCAAATCTCCATTTAGATAGGCTTCATCAGAATCTGTCTCTGCTCGGGGAACTGTGATTTCCATAATTCATGTTCACTTTCTGCAAAGGTGGGCATTCTAAGCCAGTGTCTCACCGCAAATTCAAATGGAACACGAGCTCTTTATTTCCGGAAACAACAAAATACCTCTTGGGGAGAAAGCATTTGAGACAGTTTATCAAAATCCAGTACCCAAGGACCTGAGAGAAACACATACACACACACACACACACACACACACACACACACACACACCCTCTACTTATCAATCTATTGATCTACGGATCTATCTACCTCTCTCTACCTATCATGATCTGTGGTTTTTCCCTGGTACTTTTTTTCTTTTTGGGTCACATCCAGTGATGCTCAGGGGTTACTCCTGGCTCTGCACTCAGGAATCACTCCTGGAAGTGCTTGGGGGACCATCTGGGATGCTGGGAATTGAACCCAGGTCAGCCACGTGCAGGGCAAATGCCCTACCCGATGTGCTATTGCTCCAACCCTGCCCTGGTACTCTTACCTTCATTTTCTGTATTGGCTGGCACGGAGTCGACCCCAAATGGATGCCATGGCTGGAGGTCGTCCAGGCTAAACTCTCCATTGACCGGAAGAAGCTCCACAGTGGTTTTCGTCTCAGTCAAAGACGGCATAAGTGCATCATTTCCGTAGCTGATTCTTGGTTCACTGATCATGTTGGCCAAGACGTCATCCGAGTAATTTTGCTCTTTCTGAAGCAGCTCATCTAAACAAGACAAAACGATGACTGCAGTGAGACCCAAGAACCATCACCAGGACAGCAGAGACCACTGTGCCCCTTATGTTGGGCATAACTCGGATTATGTTTTGTGTTATACATGAGGCCCCTTCTATAGTCAAGATGTACATGGGCACCAGAACTCCGTCTTCAGGGTGTGAAAATGAGGGGGGAGGAGGGGCCAAGTCACAGCTGGCAAGTCACAGCTGGCATGTAGCCAGCGTGGGAGAAGGCTCAGACAGGGGGCGCTGTGAACCACCCCTCCCAAGTATTTGAGACTTGGAGCACAGAAACGCTTTTTCCTGCTCTGACAATCAGATCCCAGGTCATTAGTAAACAGTGCTCTCTGACAAGCTATTTGCAGCAGTGAGTGCAAGTGACACAAGCTGTGATTTCTTTCTGCAGAAAGACACACCCCGTGGATCCCTACTTTCCCCTTGGACTCCTCTGAGGACAAGACACACGAGATAGATGATGCTATCCTGGAGCTCTTGTGATTAGTTCCCACAGTTGGGGCTTCTCCAAAGGTCCGCTCATGCTGCTGGGCCAAGTCTCTGTGCCCAGGCTCTTCCAGAGATGGGCCCACACATGTGACACTGTGCTCCAGTCTTCTCTGTGAGCTCAACATCCCTGCCACAATTTCTATGTGACCTCTAATCAAGGTCACGACCTTTCCTTTCTCAGTGAGACTTTATTAAAAAAAAAAAAGGCCCTTGGGTTTCCCTTTTTAAAAACCAACAATACCCACCTTAGAGAATCTGTTCTAACTCTGTGAAGTTCTTGCAGATAACTAAAGATTTCCAAATTGAAAACATGTCATCATGGAAATGCATTTTATTGGGGGGGAATAAAAGGAGCTGGGAATAAAACCCAGGATCAAGCATAACTGCTTCTTTAGAAACTGGGTACTGGTGCTGGGAGAGAGAAGAGCAGTTTTGGGAAGCATGCATCTGATCTGGGTTCAAGTGCTAAACCAATGTGGGTAAAATCCCAGGCACCACTTGGTCCTCTGAATATTACTAAGTGCAGCCATGAGGTGCCCCAAGCACCAGTGGGGTGGCCTGGATAAACCCCAGCACTTCGGGGCCCGATCGGAGACACATCTGGGGGTTCTCGAATTGACTGTTTCTTTTTATTTTTCTTTTTGGATCACACCCAGCAATGCTCAGGGGTTACTCCTGGCTCATGCACTCAGGAATTACTCCTGGCGGTCCTCGGGGGACCATATGGGATACTGGGAATTGAACCCGGATTGGCCATGTGTAAGGCAAACACCCTACCCCCCTGTGCTATTGCTGCAGCCCCTTGAATTGAACTGTTGGTCTAGCCCTGGGACTCCTGAGCACTCTTCCTCCAACAAACAAACAAACAAACAGAAAATCAAATAGGTTATTGCGAGATTCACGATGAATCTCCAATCGTACTGATGACAGAAGAGTCACCAGATTTTTTCTATGTGATGCCATATTATGAGTCATTTGAGACTCATACATAGCATATGCTATTAATAAAGTATCAATTGGAAAATATCTTTTTTTGGGGGGAATATATAACTTTTTAATCATACTTGTGTCAAGAGTTTACTGTGTTATATATTTCAAACCAAATTGCTGGTGAGTATTAATTCAATAGAAAATGAAAATAAAAGTCAGATTTAAATTGGATTTGTAACATGTTGCTATCATCCTTCATATTTCTTTTTCAAAAATTAACAGAAATATTTGGTCTGAAATTAAAAATTTTGTTCAAAATATGCATTAAAAGAATTTGACAGGAGACTATTAAAGCATGGAATTAATATCCTTCCATGGAGTCAGTTTAATTGTAAGGTATTGCTTTAAATGATGAAATCTTGAGCAAATCCAATCTTGCAAAGTGTAATTTGAATTATAATAGATATCTGTTCTCTGTGGCACCATCTTAAAATTCAGTATTTGATACTTGCAATGACCTTTCTCATACATATGAAAGGCTCCCATTAGATTTCTTCCAATTTTTTCATGTCTTACAGTCATAGGTAATGGCTAATAACTTAGCCAATGTCGGCTTTAATAAATTAAATGGGCATTTCTGTTACATAAATCTTTTGCTTGTGACTGTTAAGCACTTACTATGCTAAAGAGCAGGTCTTCTGGAATAATTTTTGGTACTAATACATTTGTCTCAAAAAGGACTAATCTCTTTCAATACTATCCATTCTTGGTGCCGTGTTCTTGGGGTCCTTACCATCATGCACCCTCCCCAGCTTCACCTGAAAATTTTTTTGTCATGCATATACAGTTCGTAAACTTTCTATATAACTTTTCTTGCCCCACCCCTACCTTTTTTCAAACTAAAAAAAAACCCAACAAACAAACACCTCCTTAATATCCATTATCTTCTGGTATCTCTTTCTACCTCTTTCTATAATTACCACCTTTGGAATTTCCACTCATGCATGAAACCCTAAGGATCTCCCTCCTTTGATGAATACAAAATGTATTCACCAGTCTTGATTTTTCCCTCCCACTCTTGGTTATACATTTCTAATAGTCTGCCACCCATTTCAGTAACACCTCCCTCCTTCCCTCCTTTGCTTTTTTGACCCACACCCAGAATTGCTCAGGGCTCACACTCAGGAATAACTCCTAGCAGTGCTCAGGGGATGGGATGCTGGGACTGCCCAGGTGGGCTGTGTGTAAGGCAAGCACCCTACTCACTGTACTATCACTCAGGCCCCTAGGAACTCCTCATTTTCAACAGAATTAATTTCATATCTTTGCCAGATGCTAAAATGCCCATCGTAATCAGAGTTCATCTCATTTTTCTGGTTATGAAGCCCACAATTATTGTTGTCCCAATCTGCACTTCTGTGATTTAAAATAAGAAATATACACCTGGTTTTCTCTGGCACAACATTTCTAAGACGCCTGGAGTTTCCAAAGTGAAGAGAGCCATAAAAGCATCTTTTGTTGGGCAAATGAGGTAACTGTGGGAAAACCTGCTGGGTTAATGGGGTGACTGTAGGAAGAGCCTGGGGTAACCCAAGGATGAGACCTGGTCACCAGAGGAACCAACTATTTGATTCCAGTTGAAAATTCCTTTTGTTCTCTACCTTCAGAGAGGAGAAAAAGATCTGGAGACGGAGTTTAGTCACCACTTGTCAATGACATAATCAATTATGTCTATATAATGGACATAAAAATCCAGGACATGGTTTAAGGAAATTTCCAGATGGATGAACACTTGAAGTTAAAAACACGTTTGGTGAGCCATTAGAAAACTGGGCCAGAGCAATAGTACAGTGGATAGGGCGTTTTCTTTGTATGTGGTGAACTTGGGTTTGATCCCTGGCACCCCATATGATCCTGCAAGCTTGACATGAGTGATCCCTGAGCATTGCTGGGTGTGGCTTCAAATCACTGTCAGTCACTGTCCTCCTGTTGTTCATCGATTTTGCTCGAGTGGGCACCAGTAACGTCTCAGAACAAATTGTGAGACTTGTTGTTACTGTTCCTTTTTTCCACCCTTTATTTGTTTTTATTTGAAGTCATAGCAAAAAAAAAATAAAGGAATTAAAAGACCCCAAGGAGAGGATTGCAAGAATCTCCTTCTTATAGATATTAGTCAGAAGCTAAGGGGCAAATTGGCTTGAGATTGACCAATGAAGTGAGTGGAGGGGTACAGTCTTATTGCGTTGAAATCATCATCTGTGGGATCTGACCCTATGTTTTGGTAGAGAGTAGAAGAATTGGGTTTGATTGAAGGATGCCTAGCTGGTCTGAAAGAACTGTGTGGTATAGGGGAAAAACCCAATATGTTGTAACCCGTGTCCAGTTCATTAAAGCACCTCTCCCTCCGACTGAGCAGCTTGCCTTATCTCCTCCTGCATTACACATGCCCCTCGGGACACCTTTGCCCTCTGCAATCTCTCATCGACAATTCTATGAGCTTGCATTTTGTTCTTTATGGGGTAGAGGAAAAAAGCGATAAATAAATCTTTTTAAGACCCCATTGACCTGTGAGCCTCAGGTTGAAACCCAAGTTTTAGGCTGCTTGATACCAGTCTCTTAGCATTCAACCCGAACCATCTAGCTTCCATGGACCTAAGAGAACTCCCTGTGAGACTCCACGACCAATGGATTGCTCCTTTAGAAGCAAATGGAATGTGGAAAGTGTTGAGTTAAAAGAGACTCTATCTTGTCTCTAACTGACTGTCCTCACTAAGATTTCTAGGTGACCACCGAACAGCCTGATTCAGCTGTTCTGAGACGGTGAAGAAGCAGGAAACCATCTGCTGATTATGCCAATTACCAATAAACACCTCCCCCACTTCCCCTTCCACCATAGGCTTCTGTCTGGAGATCTGTTAGTTAGTCATGGACAGACAGATGGACTTAAGAACCAACATGAAAGGCTTTACGCCCAATCCTCTGTTTCTCCTGTCGGCCCTGATCTCGATGGCACACACTTTTCCGTTCCCCCTTGATCCTGGACCTGAGCAGGATTCCTACCTCATCTCTGATCAATGAAAACCTTCTGATTATATTACAATACATGTCTGATGATATTTCTCTTGAGAAATAGGAGAAACCAGGAATTGTAAGCCTAACTATTCCATGATGTCTTCTTTTTTTCCTACAGGGTTATACTAAGCTGATTTGCACACCATTCTCCCAAGGGGATGGTTATTAGTCTTGTCCTTTCATATGGTCATTTCACAGGCATGAGACCTGAAGGGAATCCTGAAACTACAGTAGCCTGTGTAGTTAAAAAAAAGAGATCAGGGAATCATCATAGTGCAAAATCTTATATCTGTACTTCATCTTAGCTCGAGGTTAGTCTTGATATTCCTCTTTCTCTTTTTATCACTTACATTGTTGGGAGGAAATGTCCTTTCAAATGGCCACTAAAATGCTGAGCCCTGTGGTGGTTAATTTTCCTGGTTTATTATATTCATTTTCAGCAGATGAAAGTATGGGAATGAAATATTCAAGAAACAATGTATT